ATAATATATTATTCCTTAGATAATCACCACGCATTAATTTAACTTAGACAAATGGAATTTGTAGGCCATTATTTACACACTGAGTATAGTCCACTAATTTCTCCGTTATTTCCCGATCACGACAAGGAAAACACGGTGAGTGTTACTGATCGAATAGAGGATGCTCACTTCCCATGGCACTTGATCCCACCTGATGTTTTCCTATTTCGTACTGTTTAATGAACTTCGAGCTCGAATACTCTTCGTTATTGAATACCAAACTTTCAGCTTGACCAGATGACAACTTTTAAAAAGATAGTGCTAAAGTACTGATATTTTACTTGCATATTACTTATGACAAGAACTTTCCATGGGTTCCAACTTTTTTTGACATCTTAACCCTGGAATTCGACCTAATTTAAAAAAAAATTCTGACCATAACTTTTAAACAGTTGATGTCATTTTATTATTTTTTGTCCAATCAGATTGTGCATTACAGCTCAAATTTAATTATATAAAAATGTAAATACTGATAAATTCTTGATTAACATGCATTTTAAATAAACATAGATATAATATTCTTTGTATAATACCCGTATACTAGATTTTCAATAATTGATTTCAGTGCATTGTACATTGTTGTTTATCATGAGATGTACATCGAGGATAGAGGGGGGTTGATTATCTGTCCTTGAAATCACCAATTTTATAAGATTTTGAAAGATCAGCAGAAAAGAAGGTGTACACAGGTTGACAAGGCATGTATCACAGTGCATTTGTACCACAGCGGTCTTACACAGGTCATTTCGCATCACGTCCTGGACTCTGGCACGAGGTCCATGGTTAATGGATCTAAAGTACATAGTTTAAAAATATACAATACTAATAAGTTGTAAATTGTGTATAGAAAGCATAGCATCACTAATCTGAAATAACCCGACAATAATGAATTCTTTTTGTAGTACCAAGGACATTGCTTTTGCATTATTTTAAAATACTTTTGTAAAAATCAGCATTTTTTCAAAAGCTTGTTTAATAGATTATTTAACCTCTTGAAACTTTTTCCTTCGATAGGAACCTAGTATATTGGAATATTGCAACTCCTGAAAGAAATACTTCATTATTTGACATTTTGTGGGCCTTCTGTTCATACCATAGAAATAAATAATATGTTTTTAATCAATAAACATGTCACATTTGAATAATCTCTGGAAATGTCACCAATTCCCCTGCTCGTTAGACAGTAACATTTTCAGAATTTTAAATATTTATTCCTGTTTAACAATCGAATCTGTCTAACGCATACCCACGTTTTAAATTATACAAGGTGAAACATGCGCTAACGTGACGTAACAATGAGCCTACAGTGACGTTAATAAAAATAATGATATGGGGCAAGGATAAATTCAAACATTGCGTGTATAGTTGATGCTTTTAGAAATGAAAAAAATGTATATATAAGGAAAGTTTTTCAGTTTAATGTGAATTAATTTGTGTTTAAATCACACATACCTGCATGTAGACATACATGTATTTTTCATGAAGCGCTAAATCGCTATGCCTAAGTGACAGGTATATGTGGTATACCAATGACTCACACAAAACTTAAAAACATTCCTTAATTAATTTATTAAATATTACCTGATTTTAGACAGTGGTGGCCCCTCCGTCATTTGCGTAAAATTTGTTTTTTAAATGTATAAAATAATCGATAGACATCGAAAAAGTAGTTACAATTACTTTGAAAATTGTTAGCTGTAATCGATTAAATTATCACAGATAACAAGTAATCAAAATTCTCTCCGATCGATTTTCAATTACTTGAAAAAAAGTTATGATTACAATTGATTATGATCACTCCATTCTGATTATCGATGTAAGTCCTCAAGGAACTCGATTCTGGGCTGCTTTTAGTGCATACTGCCATGTGATTTTCTGGGACTTTACTTTACTTACATATTCCTTCATATTTGGGGTATATTTCTCTCAGTTTATTCCATAAGCATGGACATGCCTTACGTTAGTTAATGTCGAAAGTATATAAAACAAGAATATCAATTGTCTCATTTCATGTCATCAGTGAAACATATATAAACAACAAATGTGGTATTCAAGATCAAATGTCCTTAAAACATACAAAATAGGAGCAGAGCAAACACGGGCCTATAAAACATCAGAGATAGGATCAGGTGCCATGGATGAGTGACCACCCCCTACTGATCGGTAGGCCATTCTGTACAAACTTGAATTTCTATGGATTTTTTCGGTATTTCTCGATCACGATGAGGAGCACACCGCAGGTTTTCGCTGATCAGCAGGGTATATAACTCTTCTACTCTGCTCCTGATTTGCATTGTTTAAGTGGACTTCTAAAGCGTCTTTATCTCTATATATTTCATTTGATAGATGAAATACTGTGAATGTATTAATGAGATGTATGTCCTTGTGCATTTTATTGAAGGAATAACGACTGACCTAATGTTCAAGTAATCTGTACCGGTGATTTGTTTAGTGTTGTTTACTGACTTATAAAAGCAATGGTTTTCTTAGTATAAAGGAGATAATATAAGTCGATCAGGATGTCGATAAACATGTATAAATTATGTAACACCATCCACTAGTATTTTGCACAAATGCCAATTAAATGTTTGAAGTTTTTGCAAAGATACTTGTTTAAACAGCAAAATTTCATTAACAAGATCTATATTTGTGAGGAACGCGTCCTCCGAACTTAGGTTTAATATTTTGCTTGATTGCGAAGGGTTGATTAACAATAATACATTTCAATATCCTTTTCATTGGAATACTCAAGTATGATATAGGATTCCTTGGTCTATGTTTTAGTTTTTTCTGCCCAAAATATAAAAATTTATAAATTCATCAATTTATCAAATCAATTAATTGGTACTCGAGATCTGTTATTTAGAAACTTATTTAGAAATTATTGAAAAAAATGCTAAATACTTCAGAGACATAAGAATACACAACTTCTTATATGTTTTATTATCAACAAATTTTTACCACTTAAAAAAATAAAGCATAGGAATTTGTTTATTGTGTTATTCTACTCATTCATTTTTTTTTTTCTGGACTTTCGTTTTTGGAATCTTAAACATTCACAGGAGAAAAATTCTCATCACGAATTACGCCTTGCCAGACTCTGCTGATTCTACTGGCAACAAGATCAGGGTTGTGTCCGTAGATAACAGCTCTGTTACAACGCGAAATGTAATAACAACGCGAAATGTAATAAACCTGGATTATTACATTTTGCGTTATTACATTTTGCGTTGATCTCGACGCAAAATGTAATAACGCAAAATGTAATAACACAATTCTTATATTATTACATTTTGCGTTATTACATTTAGCGTCGAGATCAACGCAATAAGTAATAACGTGCTTTTTCGTTGTTACATATTGCGTTATTTTATTTTTGCACTGAAGACAACGCAAAATGTAATAAATCAATATGTAATTAAACAAAATATAATAAATTTTTTATTGCGTTTAACAAAAAAAGATCATAAAATTGATTCAAAGTATACATCAAACCAACATGGGAAACACGCCGTAAAATATTTAGAACTAAAACAATGAAACCAACGTTAGGGCTTTTACGGACAGTCAACAGTTCATTCAGTGGCCCGGTCAACAGTTCACTGTTTCATGATCACACAAAACATAAAGTAAACCGTGAAACAGTATACACTTATTTAATGACTACGAGGTAAACAGTCAAAGTGTTGTCCCGAGGTAGTGGGGGAGACCTGGGAAACTGTTGCCCGAGGCCGAAGGCCTCGGGCAACAGTTTCCCAGGTCTCCCCCACTACTGAGGGACAACAGTTTGACTGTTTCACCGAGTAGTCATTGAATAAGTGTTTTATTACCTGACCTACTATATAATCAATTAAATTGGAATAAAAAACACACAAACAATCAATAAAACGTTTTCACAACTGTTTATTCACATACTTGTCTATTAATTAGCTGAACACATAATATAATGATTAAATTAATATTTTTAATTTAAAATAATACTTAATATATGGATTGTTTGTGTGTTTTATTTAAATTTGATTAATTATAGAGCAGGTAAATAGTGATGTCGTGATCATCAAAATGCTTGAATATCACGATGACGCTTTAAACAGTCAACAGTTCATTCTGTGGACCGGTCAACAGTTCACTGTTTCATGATCACGCAAAAACATAAAGTAAACCGTGAAACAGTTCAAAATGCCTAATTATAATTTATATAGTAGGTTAGGTAATAATTCAAAATGCCTAATTATAATTTATATAGTTGGTTAGGTAATAATTCAAAATGCCTAATTATAATTTATATAGTAGGTTAGGTAATAATATGGTATCATTATTGTCAATAAATCTCTCCTGCTAGCCAGTTACACCTGCCAGTACCGATGAATAGTTTTCTTTAAGATTCATTGCATTTGTCTATAAATAAGCAAAAGCATACTGGCCAATCCCCCCCCCCCCAACAACCCTGCCCCCAGATGCACGTTTCTAATTTGCAACACCTATAATTTGAATACATTTCTTAAACTAATTTTAAAAAATGTAGTTAATTAAATCAATATATTATAAAATTTATTAATTGTAAGAAATTGCATAAATATATATATAGATTTTTCCTTTTGTTTAATTTCCTTTCATCGGCCACTACACTATTGAAAATTGTACTCAATGTTGCTGACGAAAAAAAATTGTGTTATTACATTTTGCGTTCCTGCCTTTTGCTTAATATCGACGCAAAATGTAACAACGCAAAATGTTATAATCCACAAATCGTGTTATTACATTTTGCGTTATTACATATCGCGTTGATCTCGACGCAAAATGTAATAACGCGAAATGTAATAATCATCAAATGTGTTTCGTTACATTTTGCGTTATTACATTTTGCGTTGATTTCGACGCAAAATGTAATAACACAAAATGTAATAATCCAGGTTTATTACATTTCGCGTTGTTATTACATTTCGCGTTGTAACACAGCTCCTTTCAAAACAGAAAGATTGGTGTCGGGTGGGCAATAGACATGTTTGCTTGGAAACTTTTCTTTCACAGCTCGGTAAATTAGTTTAGAATTTGCAAATCCACCAACAAGTAGAATGGATCGAATTTCAACTGTGACAACTTCTTCGAGGCATTTCAATATACCTTGTACTGGATTTTTGAAAAAGTAATAGAAATACTCGATCGGCATCTGCAATTTTCCGTGACTGAATTTTATATGGTAGTTGTGCTTCCTCATTTTCGATTCATCATTTTTTTTGTGTGCCAAATTGGGTGATAAAGTAAGGCGTACGTTCTGTTTGCCTATTTTTTTTTATTTTTAAAGCTTGTCTTAGTTCATTGAATTCGGAGAGATTTCCCCTCTTAAAGTCGTAATAATCGATATCGCTACCAATACAATCTTCTTTTATAAAATTATAGAAATTCCTTATCAATCATGGTACCAATAGTCACCTCATCTGGCGGGATCCGATCCGATTTGTACAACGTATTGCACTTCAGTTTTTTCAAGTCATAGGTTTATGATTTTACATGACATACAATTGTTCTTCCACACTTAAAAATGGAAAATCCCTTTTGTAGATGATTAAGGTCACGATGCCCAACTTAAATCACCAAATTTTACACTGAATATTTTATATGAATAATATTATAGTTTTCTTAATAATTTCTGTTATATACATGTAGGTGATAGTATTGATTATTGACTCATTCAGATTAGGGGTTACAGAGGGAATACATAGTTACACCCAAGAGCTTCTGGTTTTAACTCTTGCCTTGAAATCGAATTGGGTTCCCTTTAATTTTATTGCTAACTCTATCATCCTTTTCCCTGCTCCTTTGAGTTCTGGTAAGTGTAGATCAAAATGAATAACGTGATGTAAATCTTCCGAGGTTGAAGTTGGCAAGCAATCGCTCTCTGAAGAGAAAACTGTTAAACGGAAAGTTTCCTTGTCGCAGTTCTCGTCCACGATAAAACGATGATAATTTCTGGCGTCTATCGTTATTGGCTGACCTTTTTGTGTGAGCGCGTAAAAATTGTTTTTGAAATCTTTCTTTTTCACAGGTGAAAAATCTTCATTTGGGATTACGCCTAGCCAGACTCTGCATATTCTACTAGCTACAAGATCAGGGTTGTGTCCGTAGATAACAGCCCCTTTCAGGACAGAAAGGTCGGCATCAGGTGGACAATAGACATGTTTACTTGGAAACTTTTCTTTCACAGCTTGGTAAATTAGTTTAGAATTTGCAAATCCACCAACAAGGAGAATGGATTTTATTTCATCTGTGACAGCCTCCTCGAGACATCTCAAAATACCCTCTATTGGTTTCCTGAAAAAGGATTGAAAATACTCGACCGGAATCATCAATTTTCCAAATCTAATTTGTATACGGTCGTTGTGTTCTTTCATTTTGGATCTGTCAATCTTTTGTTCAAAGGCGGGTGCTATTGTAAGGCTTACACATTTCTGAGTAACCTCTCCCGTTTGCCTCTTTTTTATTTCTAAATCATGTCTCAGGCCATGGAATTCAGGCAGATGTTCCCTAATAAAGTCATCATAATTGCTACCAATGCAATCTTTTAAAAAATCAAAGAATCCTCTATCGACCATGGAGCCACCATAGTCACCTCCTCTGGCGCTCTTTATCTCTTTCAGACTTCCACAAGGCAAAATCTTGTTTGTAGTGATGTCAATGGTTCCACCTGAAAATAGATGTGATTAAATGTTGTAACATATTCATGAAAAAATGGAAAGTGACTAACCTTTAAAGAACCGAGGTAAATTTGTTTTTTCATATTGAAAAAAATAAAGGTTGTGATCCTTTTACTTCCATGGTCCAAAGAACCGGTTTGAATAAAAAATATAACCTGGTCGTTACGATAGAAATAACGTTATTGAATTAAGCAAATGTTATTTAAAAAGACTTTGTAAGTTCAACAAAAGAATTTGAATCATATGTGTCAAAAATTCATGTTTGCATTATAGTCCAAGGAAATATTTGTGAATATAAATATAAAAGTAAGAAAAATTTTTCAATTCTTATAATGCCTTTATTTTTCATATTTTAAAATGAATAATACAAACAGTATTCAACAACATGGATACAGAGGAAGAGAGAAAATTTTTCATCTTTTTTTTAAAATAATATGACTATTATTGACTCACCTCCTAAGTCAGCTACAACAAACTCGGAACAAAAGTCAAAATTGATGAGGTCTTGGCATCCGGATTTATGATATTCATCCACATGGTGTTCTTTACAGAGAACAGCTGCTGCTTCTGGTTCCAAAGAGAGCAGGAGATGTTTTTTCTGAATTCCAGCCTAAGAAATTTTCATAATTAGGATACACATGTAACTGTGCATAAAAGTATATGTAATTCAGCATTTATTCACACTTTTTTTTACTTCATGAATCATAAGTAAGGAATTGATTTTAGAAGCACAAGGCGGTTGTGATTGGTCTGCACAGGTAGCTGCAAAAATGTACCTCTCCGAAAAATATTTTGACAGACCGGAGAGAGATAGTGCCACCCATATTAAAAACTGTATATTAATTGCGCACAAAAAGTTGCGCTTAGTTTTGGATTATTTCTTCCAAATGCTTACCTCGATCACGAAAACGTAGATTTTTAGAACATCCCTTACTCCTCTATGAAGTACTCTCGTAGTTGACAAATGCACGAAGTGCATTGGACGGAAATATCTTGTAAACCAAAATGGCTGTATAAATAGATGATATTTTTGATAATCTCAATTTCAGGACCAGGAGTGCTATTAACAATAATAATATGTATTACTAGTATTATTTTTCTTTATTGTTCCGACTATCTGATTGGCTCATACTGGATCACATGACGAAGTATAAAAGGTGTTACAGACTGGATGTTTCTATTTTAAAAATTTATAAACCTGCTGTTTCTAAGATTGGAAACGTTCTTCTGTGAAGCAACAATAGTGCTGACGTCACAATAGTCTTTATAGACTGGATGTTTCTAAAAACAGATACTGCAGCTGGTTTTCATTACTGTGACGTCATAATGCAAATGACATAACAGTGCCTTGTATGAGAGGAAACTGAGTATTAGAAAAAGGATTTTAATCTTAATAACTGATAAAAATAATAAAACAATTGTAGCCTTTTGATTCTGTACAATCCCTCGATATATAGACCTTAGAGAAAGCATATCGACCTCGCACTTCGTATGCTTTCTCTAAGGTCTATATATAGAGGGATTGACCTCATCAAAAGGCTATAATTGTATAATGTTTTTATGTGGAAACAGTGAAAAAATATGTGAGGAATAAACAGTTAGTAATATTTTGAGATGACAGTTTAAAATTATTGAGAAATAAATCGAGAAACAGAGCAATTTTTGTACGCAATAACTATACATTTTTTTTTTCAATGGGTGGCACTCTAGCTCCCTGATCTATCAATAGATTTTTTCGGAGAGCTAGCCTACAGTTCTGCAGTTATCTGCAAGGGATAATCACACCTCCATATCACTGGATCCAACCTCTGATTGTTTTGAGGTCCGGGTTTGCTCTGCCCCTAAAACAAATCTATATTTCTTTATATATAAAAATTTAAAACACTTTTCGAAATATTTCAACCGTGTTACCGGCCTTCATCAGTCGTGTTTATTTTAATGCATAGCAACTCAACAGTATTATGACGTCACAATGAACATAAAAATTGAGAGGCAACGTCACGCAATAAAAATGCGCCAAAAACATCTGAAAATATTGTGAGAGCAAAAATTGTACTTGTGTTATAAAATTTTTATCATACATAATAAAATACTAGAATACGGGGTAACATTTTTATATACACAAGTACAATTTTACGTATAAGTACCTGGAGAACCTGGAAAGTATATCATTTCTGGACGTCTTAATTACTCGAAATGGAGAGAAACTGACAACTGATGTATACTACAAGACGACAGACACACACCAATACCTCCATTTCGGTTCATGCCACCCCAGACATACTAAGCGTTCAATACCGTATAATTTATCGAGAAGAATCTGTACCATAGTCAGTGATGAGGAACGAAGGAAGGAACGTCTTAAAGAATTGAAAGGGTATCTTTTGGATCAGAAATATCCATTAGAAATTATAGAAGATGGAATTAAAAAAGCCGAAGAACTGGACCGTAACCAATTAATTAATCCGCCGTCTACAGACACTACAGAGGAGAAAATACTTCCTTTCGTTACGACCCACAATCCAAGAAATAGAAACATTACCCCATTTGTTCAACATCTCAATGGAGTTCTTAAAACCGACGAAAAAATGTCAAAAGTTCTTCAAAATTTCCAATTCATAAATAGTAAGAGGCAACCGAAGAACCTCCGCCGCTTATTGTGCAAGTCGCATTTTCAACAAAATAATGTGCACTCAGTCAGCAAATGCCCTGACCGTCGCTGTGGAACATGTCCGTACATAAGAGAAGGAAATACCTTTAAAATTGGGCCCAAAGATTTTAAAGTTAATGCTAATATGTCTTGTGATTCTAAAAACGTCATATATTGTATAACGTGTGAAGGATGTGGCCAATTTTACATCGGCGAGACTGGAACTACTCTCCGTACCCGTATCCGAATCCACAAACAACATATTCAACATCCAGAGTACAGACAGATCAAAGTTAGTGAACACCTGGACCAATGCGGTAACGGACATTTCACCGTGTTCCCCTTTTACAAACTGTTAACCGACAGTACGGTAGAAAGAAGAGAAAAAGAGAAACATTTTATTAAGTCTTTAAAACCAACTTTGAACAGTTTAGCATAGTTTATTGTATTTTATATACATGTATGTTTATTTCTCATATGTTCAACATGTACGCTTTTGCTTGTTTCCCGAACATTCATTGTGACGTCATTGTATCGTTGACAACGTCATTACCATAACATTTTAACGTCAAATATTTAAAGTAAAACGTCTGAAGAATTTGAATGAAAGCGCTAACGTTTTACAACTTGTGTTGTCGTTTTTTTCTTTTTTATATATATATATATATATATATATATATATATATATATATATATATATATATATATATATATATATATATATATATATATACCTCATTGGCTGCATTTATCATAAAACCACGCGATTCGTCATCCCATATTGCAGGAACTGTCAAGATAAATCGGACTTGATCTGTCGAAATGTTTACTCCTTGTTCCTGAAGTTTATTGAATAGGTTCTCTTTCAGAGAGCGAATACAATCCGCAAACACTATCAAAGCCGGTTTCTTTCGATCTTGATCATCTTCTAAAAGAAGTTCTGTGTTTTCCAAAGTAACCTGAAGAAAAGCGAAAAAAGACAGTCATTAGATTTTTTTTCTACTTCACTAAATGTGTATTTCAATCTTATTCAGTAGCATTTAAACCTTGGTACAATTGCAAATTTAAAAAACATTTTACATTTTTCTCATACAACTTCATCTTGAAATTGTAAAAGGCCTTCCAGTTCACTGCTTCTTCTGGTTCTTGTTCCAATAGCTCGATATATTTGTTCTCAGCCCGAGATCCAAAGGAATTGAAATTATCATCTGGATCATATAGGATAAATGTTGACGTCTTTTGTAATATATAATTAGCTGCTAGCCAGAGGGGTGAGGATACTTTAAGTGGATCATCGAGGAAATCTGTGCGACTAGAGAAAGCATATCCCGAGAACGTGGTTCCAATATCAATCGCTGCCACATACGGATATTCCCTGTCCTCTCTTAAATAAAAACATAATCCTAAATCAATGTTCAAATATGTTTGAAAGAGTTATTCTGGTCCCATTTTCATATTACATACCGTGTAACTGGTTTTTAATGCGGGTGCAAATTTTTGCGATTTGATCCTGAAATAGGTATTTATAATATTTGTTATTTGCGATTTTAATTTTTGCCATTTCACTTTGACAATAAAGTCTATTTTTATTGAATTTTATTACTAGACATTTAAACAATAAAGTTTATTTTTATTTTTTATTGAACAAACCAAATACAGGTGACTCTCGATGGCTTGAACTCCGATCTCTCGAAGTGAACCTCCGGTCCCCTTTTTTCCTCTATATAACTAGGCAAAATCCTGATCTCTCCAACTTCTATCTCTCGAATAAAAACCTGGGTCCCGTTACACATATTTCATTGAATTCTCCATCAGCATACGTCAGTATCGAGATCATGTGAGATTGCAAAGCAACTCCCAGAATTCAATGCGAAGTTTGACCCAGATTCGATCAGTCGTGGAATTTTACGCTCTATATTTTATTTGGATTTAACCTTTATTTGTGACCTTTATTGTATAATTTACGTTTGTGTTGGACTGCGAATTAGTGCGGAACATTTGCGGTAAATTCAAACGGAATTTGAACTATACAGTAGTGAATATTGACGAAGTTCAATAATATACGAGGAGAGTCCCTCAGGCTCCGACGCCATTTTGGGGGATTTTGTTACGCAAGTAATGTCTTCAGAACAATCAGATATGCATCATGATCAAGATGCACAAAATGGTGCAATGAAATCTCGTAAGCGAGATGCACTTGATGAACATTTTACGCTCTATCTCTCGAAGTTTTGATTGCGCTTGTATACACGCCAATCAGGGACCTATATACTAACATAGTATATAGGTCCCTGCGCCAATCAAGCGTAAAATAAATGCTGTCTGGACTTACCTGGAAACAGTGAAGGCCTTGGGCTGCTAATTGGGTGTTTATATAAATGACACTACACCTGTGGGTCGTCGGTGTGTTGTCATGGATCTATATACTAAGTATGTAGTATGTAGGTCCCTGGTGTTGTTATAATTAATGGGTTATTATTCACAGGGTAAATTAGAAACAAAGTCACAATTATTTTGAATTGAAACCGAGGCGATAATTATTTGAAATTAATTTATAGATGTTCGTTTCAGTAAGTTCCCATATGACTATGAACTTTCATTTATGATTATAAAGAGTTTATATAATCCCAGTATGGGAAATATTCCACAAGGAATTCTTTTCTCAAGGACATAATACCGATTGAGAAAAATCTGGTAAACACTAGTGAAGGACCTGATCAAGCCGCGGAATATCCAAATCGACAATTGCTATTCGGGTTTCATATAAATAAATCATGAAATACAATGTAGGAACAAATAAATATTGAATCTCTGGGAATTCGTTTTATTTATTCGAAAAACAATCATTGTTGTTGATATCAAGTAAATTACATGTAAAATACGATTGAAAAGGTGCAATGGCATTATTTACATATACTTCCGGTATCTGCAAAAGTAGAACTTCGATGATCGCAACTGAAAATTCCGGATTTTATTTACGTATTTTTTTGCGATTGAATTTTTTGTGATTAAGACTTGATCGCAGAATTTCGCAAAAAATAGCACCCCGTAAAAAATCCAGTTATACGTAATAAAAAGTAAATTATTTGTAATATTTCAAATTATTATTATATTAATTAAATGTACGAGGGTCATTCAAATACGTAGACAATGTTTCTCCTCAGAAAATTGTATTTACAAGATTTATAGATCAACGCATATTTATTTGTAAAAACATGTAATCTGTCGATGTGTGAAGTTTTATTCCATTTGATCATAGGGAATTCATGTTAGCCTATTTTAAAAGCAATAGGTTTTGTCATCACAGAGCAAGATTAACATTGTACATTGTTAGAAAGAACACCAAGAAAGTTTCTCAAAATTACTCTGTCTTTTATTCCATACACGGTTTTAGTGACTTTCTCATTCATTAAAACGTCTATGTAACTTGTCATCAAGTTTGCTACCAATTGTTCGTATAGCTTACGTTTCATTGTCAATGCTTTTAAATTATTTACCGCGTAACTCTGCTTTCAATAGTTCCGCTACAGTGAAAAGCACATAACGTTTCATGACGTTATTATGTTCCCCAAACGAAGTTGGGGAACATATTGGTTTTACTCTGTTTCTTATCATTATGTCGCCCCGAACGAAGTCGGGGACGACATATTGATATTGTACGCATGTTTTTTTTATCCAGGCTGTTTCTCGGAGATGGCTGGGACAATCTTCCTGAAACTTTCCTCAAAGGACGATCACTGGTTGTAGTTGTGCAGTGAGGTCGTTCAGTTCCAATATGTCTACCGTTGCCATGGAAACCTGTAAAAAGCGACAAATTTTGTCCGAGAGTGTTCTCTCTGGTCCCTTAAACGTTCGTCATGAAACTTTTCTTATTTTAAGGATTAGTATCTGTAGTTCTGCAACTCGTATTTAAAATTTTCATATAATCGCTTATTGCCATGGAAACCAGGTGAAAGTAAAAATTCTTTAATTTCGATTTTCTCAATAACTACTCAGGCAATCGTTTTGAAACTTTCAATGTTTATTCCTTGCAATGTGTCAAAGTGATTTCTACTTTCAAAATAATTGTAATGAGTCGCTCACGGTTGCCATAGAAACGAAACAGAAAAAAAGATTCAGATGTACACATGTGTTCTCCAAGGTCTAGGTCAAAGGGTCAAAGTTCGTCGTATCCAATAAAAGTTCTTTTCACAAGGATTACATATTTGAAATACGAAAGCCCTAGTACTTACCGTTCAAACGTTATGGCTATTTACTATGTTCAAGACGACCCCCCCCCCTTTTTTTGAAGCACACAGCCAAGTAGAATACACAGATATAACATATACAACTTACAAGTAACTTTTTAAAATCTTCATTCATAAAATTCAGTTCCCGTCATGTGATATTTTGCCATCATTCATTCTCCTTCTGTTTTGTCTCTTGAATTTATAAATATTTTATTTTATCTATATAAAAAAAAATAACGATTGTCAGCTGCATTTATTTTCATTTCGCGTTTTCTTGTATATCTATCACTTGTATATTATTCATTTCATTAGATAGTGCAAGTATAAATTAAAAAAATGGTACGTCATTTCCATAGTTTTTATTCATTCATAAATTCTTTGATCCGCTCCTGATGGTTCGCAAAGCCTTGATCACCACTGTATACAAAACATTCATCTCGCCGAAAATGTTCATGATTCCGCTAAACTGAGAAAGTTCACACATGATTTATCATCTCATAACACACATCAGCTCTCTGCAATGCAGAAATGCTCGAATTGAAGGGGAAAATTCAGGAGTTATTGATGAGAAAAATTCAGGAGTTATTATGTCGCCCCGAACGAAGTCGGGGACGACATATTGATATTGTACGCATGTTTTTTTTATCCAGGCTGTTTCTCGGAGATGGCTGGGACAATCTTCCTGAAACTTTCCTCAAAGGACGATCACTGGTTGTAGTTGTGCAGTGAGGTCGTTCAGTTCCAATATGTCTACCGTTGCCATGGAAACCTGTAAAAAGCGACAAATTTTGTCCGAGAGTGTTCTCTCTGGTCCCTTAAACGTTCGTCATGAAACTTTTCTTGTTTTAAGGATTAGTATCTGTAGTTCTGCAACTCGTATTTAAAATTTTCATATAATCGCTTATTGCCATGGAAACCAGGTGAAAGTAAAAATTCTTTAATTTCGATTTTCTCAATAACTACTCAGGCAATCGTTTTGAAACTTTCAATGTTTATTCCTTGCAATGTGTCAAAGTGATTTCTACTTTCAAAATAATTGTAATGAGTCGCTCACGGTTGCCATAGAAACGAAACAGAAAAAAAGATTCAGATGTACACATGTGTTCTCCAAGGTCTAGGTCAAAGGGTCAAAGTTCGTCGTATCCAATAAAAGTTCTTTTCACAAGGATTACATATTTGAAATACGAAAGCCCTAGTACTTACCGTTCAAACGTTATGGCTATTTACTATGTTCAAGACGACCCCCCCCCCCTTTTTTTGAAGCACACAGCCAAGTAGAATACACAGATATAACATATACAACTTACAAGTAACTTTTTAAAATCTTCATTCATAAAATTCAGTTCCCGTCATGTGATATTTTGCCATCATTCATTCTCCTTCTGTTTTGTCTCTTGAATTTATAAATATTTTATTTTATCTATATAAAAAAAAAATAACGATTGTCAGCTGCATTTATTATCATTTCGCGTTTTCTTGTATATCTATCACTTGTATATTATTCATTTCATTAGATAGTGCAAGTATAAATTAAAAAAATGGTACGTCATTTCCATAGTTTTTATTCATTCATAAATTCTTTGATCCGCTCCTGATGGTTCGCAAAGCCTTGATCACCACTGTATACAAAACATTCATCTCGCCGAAAATGTTCATGATTCCGCTAAACTGAGAAAGTTCACACATGATTTATCATCTCATAACACACATCAGCTCTCTGCAATGCAGAAATGCTCGAATTGAAGGGGAAAATTCAGGAGTTATTGATGAGAAAAATTCAGGAGTTATTATGTCGCCCCGAACGAAGTCGGGGACGACATATTGATATTGTACGCATGTTTTTTTTATCCAGGCTGTTTCTCGGAGATGGCTGGGACAATCTTCCTGAAACTTTCCTCAAAGGACGATCACTGGTTGTAGTTGTGCAGTGAGGTCGTTCAGTTCCAATATGTCTACCGTTGCCATGGAAACCTGTAAAAAGCGACAAATTTTGTCCGAGAGTGTTCTCTCTGGTCCCTTAAACGTTCGTCATGAAACTTTTCTTGTTTTAAGGATTAGTATCTGTAGTTCTGCAACTCGTATTTAAAATTTTCATATAATCGCTTATTGCCATGGAAACCAGGTGAAAGTAAAAATTCTTTAATTTCGATTTTCTCAATAACTACTCAGGCAATCGTTTTGAAACTTTCAATGTTTATTCCTTGCAATGTGTCAAAGTGATTTCTACTTTCAAAATAATTGTAATGAGTCGCTCACGGTTGCCATAGAAACGAAACAGAAAAAAAGATTCAGATGTACACATGTGTTCTCCAAGGTCTAGGTCAAAGGGTCAAAGTTCGTCGTATCCAATAAAAGTTCTTTTCACAAGGATTACATATTTGAAATACGAAAGCCCTAGTACTTACCGTTCAAACGTTATGGCTATTTACTATGTTCAAGACGACCCCCCCCCCTTTTTTTGAAGCACACAGCCAAGTAGAATACACAGATATAACATATACAACTTACAAGTAA